GGTAATGTGTTACAAAGCAATAGAACACAAATCAAGTCAATATCCTCTAACAAATTTATTTAATGCTTAAATTAACTAAAGTTAGTTTAAATAACTTGCTACCAAATATCTTCAATGATATCTGAGTGATCCAAATCTCATTCTTCCTCTAGTGGCCACTGCAAATTCGACTCATCACCATTTCATTCAACTAGACTAATCCACATCCATCTCCTTATCACAGGTTCTGTAGAAATGGAAAGAAAGTACCATTTCCAGCAACCTCAATTCTTCTCAATCTCATTAGCAGCATTCTGCACTCTCTCTGGTGCAGCAAAGAGTATAAAGAATGGGAGTTTTCCTCTCTTTGGGGCTCTAAACAGAATTTGTTATAGCAAGCAGCAAACTACACTTGAACAGTCAGCTTTTTTGTAAATATTTCACATTTTTAAATAATATGAATGAGCTCTTATAAACCATACATTTCAGGAAAAGAACAGCTTTATATATATATAAACCTTAGAGTCGAGAGTTCCTGGTACTGTCTGCTTATTCAAAAATGCTGAAAGTACTTTCACTAGACACATGTGAGTTTGCATAAGATTACATATCACTATTTTCTATGAAATTGCAGTGGTTTTTTTCTGCATCCTGAATAATGTACTCCACTTTTGAATCTAATAATACCGAAAATCTTTCACTTTGGCTCTTACATATGGGCAACAACTCTGAAAAATTCTGGCAAAATTTAAAGGAGAAGGGCTTGGGGAGAATGAAGAAAAAGTCATAAGAATACTTTCTCTACAGAAGAACAAGTTGCTATTCTCTTTGTTTAAGTCTGATTTATCAGGATGAGAGGTCTACATGGATAGAAATGACTAGATAATTGCATAAACTCTCTGTTCACTTTGACTTCTATAAATTCATATAAAGTAACAGAGCTAACAAGAAAAAGTAGATGTCCCATCACTCAAAACAATATGATCCCTACTTGATACCGGCTGCCTCTAGAGTGGAAAGTCCACTATTGTCCGCTGTCAATACTCTCTTCAAAAATCACGTTCTGAGTTCTTTCGCCAGGAGCCTGATGATTCTCAAGCTTGACAATCGTGCTGATAAACTTCAAAGCAGCTCTAACCAGTATGCAGTTTGATAAGGTGGGGCCAGTGGGGGCAAAGAAATGTGTGGAATAGGAACTGATTGCAAGAATGGATACCCCTCAGAGGTGGTATGATTAACACCAGCTATTAGAATTACGGTTCTCCCCCACCAGCAGGCAAGAGTAAGGGCCCATTCCTTTAAGACTATATTGACTACATAAATCTGACCTGTGTATCTACAAAGTAAAGCATTTTAAAAAATCTAGGAATGCATAAATTTATGCAAATGTCATACCATGGACATGGGAGCAGCTTACTATTGTGAATAGGATACAGGACATATAGATGTTATCCTCGGCTTCACAGTGATTCACTAGTGTGTGACCTTGGGTCTCTCAGTGTATCTGCTGCATCCTTTCAAAAGTGAGAACAGTATGTCTTCTTACCTATCTCTTAAATGTTTTGAAGAATCACCAAGAAAGGTAGGATTTATAATAATAAGCTAGAAAACAATGCTACATATCTTTGGACATGTGTAATAAAAATTAAGTATGATGTCTTTGTTGAAGGGAAAGGGCTTCAAAGTATAAAAGCCCCACCAACTTAAACATTCATATAAATTACATTAAAAAAATTAAAAAATACTGAAGCAAAAATAAAAAGCCATATTTGGATGTAATAACAAAAAATGTCCATAACTACAATATTTCACTAATGAGAAAGTACAGATGCTATATACAGAAGGATTTTAAGATGTCCATATGCTTCTCAAATGACTCTCCTTGTTAGCTATTTCTCTATATCTCTATTTAAGAATAACCTACACCTTCCCCACTGAGCGGGTGTAAATTACCATGTAATATGTTGTAATATTCAAACAAATTAAAAATAGAAGTAACTCTAACAAAAAGAAATGAAAGCTATATAGCCCTAAAACATTCTTTGATACAGATATTAATATAAATCTCAACTATATGTAACACTAAAATTAGTTAATTAAAAAGGATATCTCATCTGTTGGCTTTATGATTTAAAACTCCTTAAAACCCAAATATATTCCAACTATACCCCAACTATACGCAATAAGTATTTATATATGATGGCAGTAACTTCATAAAGGAACTCTGTCTACAATAATAATGGGCATAAAACACTCAATCATAACAGTCTGTGACAATGTATAAAATTACATTTTTAATTTCAGAAAGGCCATTATTATTTTTACAGAAGATAGCAGCTTAAAATGCCAAACACTCTCTAGCCAAACACTCTTTGGTCAGCCCAATAGGCAGAAACAACTGCAGAAGGAGAGAAATTGGAAGACTGAGGAAAAAAACAAAAAACAAAAACAAAAAAGCCTCACCTCCCTCCTAGCCATAAACTGGTACTTAATTTAAAACTCTTAACTTCCTTCTGCACAACCTTATATGCATCTAGCCATGTCCATTATGTAGCGAAGATGACCAATTCAGGAGGAGAACCAGGAAAGCATCTCTCCCTCTAGCTGGCAGGCTGATATCAAAGGTCAGATTCAAGATCCCTACTCTACACGCACCTGTTTGTGACTGAAGCATATAGGGAAAACATTCACTTTTCCCCACACAGAGAATGGCAAAGCTCAAGAAAATGCTTCTCTTCTTGAGACTTGCCTCATTCAAACAAAATGAATGAAAATAAACTACAAGGAAGTTTCACAACTGATGGGATTATCTGTCCTTTTAAAAATATAATATTCTTATTAAGCACTTTAAATAAAAATGCTTTCCAGAAGGTCTGTCAGTGATTTGGTGTTTGAGTAATTAAATTGGTCCAAACTGGAACAGTGGTTTAAAAGGAAAAGGAGGATTAATTATCTGTGGTAAAAAGTAAATATATTAAACAACAAATTTTCAGTCACTATAATTTCCATAATAAACATCCAAAGTACCAAAGAGTAGTTCAAAACATATCCTTTCCAAACATGATATTTTAATTGTCCTCATTTACCAACTGCAACTTATTCTGTGCTGTTATTAATTACAGGATTAAAAAGATTTCTAGAGCATCAGAAAATAACATCTAGACCTTTTCAAATGTCAAAAACATTTTCTTTCCAAATAATTTAAATTATTTTTCTCTAATATAGTTTCTCTATGAACTTATCGCCTTTTCCTAGATTTCAATAATGCCTGCAAGATTTGAAAACATGACTGTACTCCAAATACCTGTCATTCCTAAATCTTACCCTTCATGAGAAATCTCAGCACACCACGAGTATTTAGTTGTATAAGCCTTGTTATAGCATTTGAGGGGGGAAAAATAACTCTTCACTTTCTTTTCCGGTTGAAGTTAAACTTTTTAAACCCTTCTTACCCCACTCCCACATTTTACATACACACACGCCCAATCTACAAGTATAATGGGATCTGTGTGAACAGATCCATTCCTCACAGATTTCAAAATGTTATCATTATTTAAACTAAAAGTTTCTTTTAGGATATTACACACACCTCCCGGGCAGGGAAACAAACGCGACAGATCCTCCTGAAATTAGAGCACAGGAGACTGACTGGAGAATTTCCAACTCCACATCCCTGGAACCGCGTCCCCAGCTCCCCGCCGCAGCCGCCTTTCCTCCGAACCTCCGTCCCCTCCAAGCACACGGCGGACGCTCAGGCCTCTGACCCCAGCACCTCTCCCTGCGGTCCAGTGGGCGACGGCTTCAAAGCCAAACAAACGCCCCCCGCCAGGCACTGAGGGAACGCCCCCGTCCCCCGCTCCCGCTAGTCCCCACTGTGACACCCTCGGGGGCGTTTAATTAACCAGTTTACCTCCAGAAGTTTACGGTTCAGCACTCTCCTTCCACTAGCCAAGGAACTGCTTTATCTCCCATCCCCCAGGCCCGGGAACTTTTCTCAAAACCTAGGATTCTGAGGTATGGACTTGGAACTGAAGTCCCCAACGAAACATGAAAGGTACCCCCACCAAGTATCGCTCCCCTCAAGCAACACGTTAGCACTACAAACTTTTCATTCATAACTCAACTCCAACATAAACTGTGGGGGGAGGGGGTGCGGTGTCAACCACGCCTCGCCTCAGCGAGCCTAGCACACACAGGTCAGGGTCTGCACCAAAAGGATCACCTGGCACCGAACTTAGGACAAAGGCGCCCTTAAACCCACCAACCTCTGGGTTGCGAGATGCCAAGCAAGCTGTGCCGGGGTCCGGACTGGGATGCTGTTAACCTGGGAGCCCGAGTGGGGAATACAGCGGCGCACCCAGAGGACGCTTGGTCCCCCATTCCCAGGGCTTTCCCCGGGAACCAGCCGGTGACCGGGCTGCGGTGCCACTCACCTCCGCCCGCTCCCGCTGAGGCTGTTGCGCCCTCCTTCGCCCCACGCCGGCGACCCCCTAACTTCTCCCCCTTCTCCAAACAGCCATCTTTCGCAGAGAAGAGAACGGCGAGGCCGAAGCAAAGGGGGGACTGAAAGTTGACTCGGGG